CGACTTACCGCTATTACAATTTTGGTTGTAATCTGCCGTAGTTGGAACTTATTATTTGTCGGACTCGGCATCCGTCAAATTTTTGGCGCCGCTGCCGGGGACTCGGTGCATTTAACCTTGTATGCCAAGATCTTCTCGTGCAGGTTCACCTTTATCATTAGACTTAGAAATCGAACGAACCGTGAAACGACTTAGGAAACAAGCCAAACTTCGAAAGAGGTTAGGCGAGGGAACTTCGTCACCGGGAGTAAATATCTGGCAAGATATTGACCTCTCTAGCGATTCGRGCGACGAAAAAGAAGAAAAGCTAAAAAAGAAAAAGGAAGACGAGTTGGAAGTCAAGACGGAAGAAATGGAGGAGAGGACTCTCCGAGAGCTTGCGACACAAGACGTTGCTCAGGTTCCTATATGCATCAGGTATCCTCAAGGTAACGATAATTTTGTTCTAAAGACTGGTTTGGTCCATCTCTTACCTACTTATCATGGTTTAGAGAATGAGGACCCGAATAAGCACTTAAAAGAATTTCATATTGTCTGTCTAAGCATGAAACCCAATGAGGTTTCCGAGGACCTTATAAAGTTAAAGGCATTCCCTTTCTCTTTAAAGGACCGTGCTACGGATTGGCTCTATTCGTTACCGCCCGGTTCGGTAATGACTTGGAACCAAATGGCGAGATTATTTCTAGATAAATTCTTTCCCGCTTCCTGAGCCGCTAACCTTCGTAGAGAGATTTGTAGCATTAAGCAACGAGATGTTGAGACTCTCCATGAATATTGGGAGAGATTCAAGCATCTTTGTGTGAGTTGCCCACAACACGGGATCTCAGACCAATTGCTTCTACAATATTTCTATGAGGGACTCCTTCCTTTGGATAGGAAGATGATTGATGCCGCAAGTGGCGGAGCCATGTTTAATAAGACTCCAACCGAGGTTAGAGCTCTAATTAGCACTATGGCCGAAAACTCCCAACACTTTAGTGTTAGGAGTGACATGAGAAGAGAGCCACAAAAGGCGAATGAGGTCAATGTTTCTAGTATTGAAAGTCGCTTATTTGATCTTACTAACATGGTTAAGCAGCTTCTAGTAGGAAAAGAGCAGATGAAAGCTTGTGGTATCTGTTTAGGAACGGGCCATCCAACYGATGCGTGCCCGCAACTTCAAGAAGATGTGTTTGTGACGGCCGAAGACGTGAACGCGGTAGGAGGTTTCCAAGGTCAGCCACAACAACAAAGGTATTTTAACAATACCTTTGGCAACCAAAGACCTCCTCAATTCCAGAATTTTGTTCAAAGGCCGCCACAACAACARTTTCAACAAGGAGCTCCATTCAATCCAAATCAAGCTACTTCTASTGGCTCAGGTATGTCCCTTGAAGACATTGTTAAAAATCTAGCCACTAACACTCTTCAATTCCAACAGAAAACGGAGGCTAGTATTCAAAATTTGGGAGCTCAAATGACACAGCTTGCAACTGCCGTGAGCCGATTGGAATCTCGAGGGAAACTGCCCTCTCAAACGGAAACACCTCCGAAGTTGAATGTGAGTATGATGACCTTGAAGAGTGAGAAGAAAGCTGGTAGAGCAAGAATGAGAAATGTTATTGAAGAGGAGACGCCCGAATTTGCCATCCCACCACCGTTTCCCGAAAGGTTTAGACAACTAAAGAAGGAGTACAAGTTGGAAGCGACTCCCGAGAAGATTGAAGACATATCTCAAACAGTTCAAGAAGCAGATGGTGATGATGAGCAAGAAGCCATTRCGGAGAAAGAAGAGAAAGTTGTTGAAGTAGAAGACACCTTAAGGGTCGTGCAACCAAAGCTACCATCTAAATGCGAGGATCCAGGTGAGTTTTCTATTCCATGTAAGATAGGCGATTTTGGCATTGACAAGGCCATCTTAGACTTAGGCTCAACTATAAACATCATGTCATTGTCGATTTTTAACTGTTTGAATATCGGTCCCTTGAAAGTGACCAATTCACTTATCCAATTACCGGATGGCCATGATGTACCCCCTAAGGGGATGGTAGAGGATGTTTTTATTCAAGTGAACGGATTAGTGTTCCTTGTAGACTTTTATGTGCTTGACATAGGAGCGGGTAGCCCCGC